ATAATGACCTTGACCTAAAAAACCTTGTGGAAAATCTACTACATGTAGTCATTGTAAAGTACCTGCATCAAATCAAAGGTCTTTAGGCCATAGTATTCTCTAGTTATTGTGGTTCCACACCATCATTTGTGAATTGAGTCCATGTGTTTAACAGTCACGTGTCCGACATGCGTTTTGTGGTCAAGGTTACGCTGACCTATAACTTTGACATATTTCTGTCAAAGTCAAGGAGGGTCATCTATTGGTAATTACCAACCTCCACATCAAATCTCAGGACTGTAGGCCAATGCGTTATCTAGTTATAAGTGGGACAAGCTTTCAGTGCTCAAAGCCAGTGACCTTGACTTTTTGACCTCAAAAGAGATAGGGATCATCTACCGGCCTTCAAGTAAAATAAATCCTGGCTTATTCCTTCTTTACATGAAGTGATAACTGTAATATACAGATTGTTTCTATCACGGTATGCTCTTACTTCTAAGTGGAGGCTTCATAAAACCACTACATGAAAAACAAGCTAAACGTTCTTAGTAGATTTGATTCCAAGACGAACTAATAATAATGCATATCATTTAGCATCAAAAATTTGTTTAGATAAAGAGGAAATTTTCAGAGTTTATTTCCTACTTAACATTCGGCAAAATGATAGTGGTTAATCCTACTGAAACAATAGGTTCTCTTTTTAAATGCAGCTTGTCACTTTGGAAATCTGTGACTAATAAAAGTAAAGGAATTCTTCTAACTTGAATTTATTCATAATCTACCTGTAATACAATGTTTCTCGGATAATTCCAGCATACACTAAACTTCTGATCATTGCCCACGTTTTTAACCGGTCCAAATGTCTGCAACTCACAAACAAGAGCAATATGTGATTATGTCATCTGCTGATAGCCTTATTAAGTAGTTGTATTGAGGGGTGATTGATCAGTCGGTTCTATGCCAAATATAGAGGCATAGTATGTATCCACAAAAAGATAAGATGTGTTTTCCTATACCCCGGTCTACATACGGCAAGTTACTCCAGGGGCAGGGTCAGAATATAACTTAAATAAAAATCTACAAATTGATGCTACATGGCAAATAAGCTCTTGGCTTTTAGTTTCACATCATAGGACTTAAATATGTTTTCCTATTTAAGTTTATATAAATCAAGTGACCCGGGGCGGGCCAATATTGACCCCAGAAGCATGATCAGTTTTGCAAAGGTGATGCTATATATCTTAGCTCCTACCACTGTAGTTTCAATAAAGACCGAAATGTGTTTTCTCAAACATGAGTATATCTAAGTGACCAGGGGCGGGGCCAGTATTAACCAAAGAGACATGATTTATACCAGTTATTCTGTGGTCCACAAAGTTATGCAACATGCTAAATATCCAAGCTCTGCGCCTCATAGTTTCACATAATGAGTTTCCGATGTTTTTCAAATACAAGTCTGAACAAGAACCGGGTGATGCTTCCCCCCTCCCGAGTAGGTTTTGGACACAGAAAAGTATACCTCTTGAAGTCTCAGTCATGTCCCTGACAAAAATGAACTAAGGGCAATTACTCCAAAATTAAGAACTAAGGGGAATAACTCTAAAATTAAGCAAGGCAGAGTTAAGGTTCTTTTGCGCTGCACTTCTATTCAATGAGATCAATCTACCTACAAACCTCTTATGGTTTCAGAGCTATGCTATGTCTCGGACAAAGTTCAAAGTGAAACAAATTACTAGCTAGAACTCCGCGAGTCGGACGTGTCGCCTTGTGAACAACATTATAGTTTAGGAGAAATGGCCAGGACAAAAATGAAGAAAATAAAGAAGTGCAAAGTACCGGTTCTTGTACACTGCACCTTTTCTTAATGAGATCTATCATCCTATGAAGTTTAAAAACGACCATAGCTTTTATACTTTAGGAGAAATGGCCTGGACAAAAATAAAGTATGTAAATTAACAAGGGCAATAACTCAAAAAATAAGAAATGCAGAGTACCAGTTCTTGTGCACTGCACTTCTTATTGAGATCAATCATCCTATGAAGTTTAAAGACAATAGCTTTTATACTTTAGGAGAAATGGCCCGGACAAAAATAAAGTATGAAATTTAACAAAGGGCAATAACTCAACAAGAGGGCAATGATGGCCCTGAAGTCGGGCCCCCCAGAGTGGGGCCAGTTTAAACCCAAGGGCTTTTATTCGAAAAAAACTTGGTAGACACCCGTTAGATGTTTCATGCTAAACATCTAAGGTCTAGCTCGTTGGGTTTTTTAAGTTTTTTCTTTACATATATATTTAAAAACAATGACACCCCTGGGGCAGGGCCAGTTTTGACCCCAGGGATTTTATTTGAGCAATCTTTGTAGACACTTACTAGAAGACGTTTCATGCTTAATATCTAAACTCTAGCTATTCGGGTTTTTTTTCGAAGAAGATTTTTAAGTTTTTGCTATACACATTTAAGGAAAATCATTGTCCCCCGGGGCTGGGCCAATTTTGACCCCAGGGCTCTTATTTGAACAAACTTTGTAGACATCTATTAGAACATGTTTCATGCTAAATATCTTAGCTCTAGCTCTTTGGGTTCTTTAAAAGAAGATTTTTAAGTTTTTACTATATTCATATAGGGAAAATCAATGACCCCCTGGGGCAGGGCCAATTTTGACCCTAGGGCTCTTATTTGAACAAACTTGGTAGACATCCATTAGAACATGTTTCATGCTAAATATCTTAGCTCAAGCACTTTGGGTTCTTTAAAAGAAGATTTTTAAGTTTTTACTATATGCATATAGGAAAAATCAATGACTGGGGCGGGGCAAATTTGACCCCAGGGCTTTTATTTGAGCAAACTTGGTAGACACCCACTAGAAGATGTTTCATGCCAAATATCTAAGCTCTAGCTCTTTGGGTTTCTTAGAAGAAGATATTTAAAGTTTTTTCTTTTGGTTGCCATGGCAACCAGAGTTCTGCATGGAATTAAATTCTTTGAACAATTTTCAAAGGTGATCACCAAAGGAACATTCCTGTGAAGTTTGGATGAAATTGGCTTAGTGGTTTATGAAGAGTAAAAGTAAAAGTTAAAGTAAAAGTTTACGGACGCCGGACGAAAAGCAACACAAAAGCTTATCCTGTCACAAAGTGACAGGTGAGCTAAAAAAGAAGAAATGCAGAGAACCGGTTCTTGTGCACTGCACTTCTTCTTAATGAGATCAATCATCCTATGAAGTTTAAAGACAATAGCTTTTATACTTTAGGAGAAATGACCTGGACAAAAATAAAGTATGAAAATTAACAAAGGGCAATTTCTCAAAAAAAAAAAGAAATGCAGAGTACCGTTTTTTGTGCACTGCACTTCTTCTTAATGAGATCTATCATCCTATGAAGTTTCATGTCTATATGGCTTTTACACTTTAGGAGAAATGGCCTGGACAAAAATAAAGTATAAAAATTAACAAAGGGCAAAACTAAAAAAAATGAGAAATGCAGAGTACCGGTTCTTGTGCACTGCACTTCTTCTTAATGGGAACCTATCATCTTATGAAGTTTCAAGTCCATAGCTTTAATACTTTAGGAGAAATGGCCCGGACAAAAATAAAGTATGAAAATTAACAAAGGGCAATAACTCAAAAAAGAAGAAATGCAGAGTACCGGTTCTTGTGCACTGCACTTCGGGTCGAAGCATGCATGCCAAGTTTGAAGGCAATCCAACTTATAATGACTGACTTGCGCTCCTGACAATGTGCAAAGGGCAATAACTCCAAAATTAGGCAAGGCAGAGTTATGGATATTTAGCACTGCACTTCCACCCAATGAGGTCTATCTAACTACATAGTTTCATGTTGTTATCTCTTATACTTTTAGAGTTATGTCCGGGTTCAAAGTGTACAAATGAACAAAGGGCAATAACTCCAAAATTAGGCAAGACAGAGTTATGGTTATGGTTATTTAGCACTGCACTTCCACCCAATGAAATATATGTACTACCTACAAAATTTCATGTTTATATCTCTTATAATTTTAGTGTTACGTCTGGGACAAAGTTCAAAAATAAACAAACGGCAATAATTCCAAAATTTGACAAGGCAGAGTTACGGTTCTTGTGCACTGCACATCTACTCAACACGATCTCTCTACCTACACAGTTTCATGTTGATACCTCTTGTTGTTTCAAAGTTACATAATGTTTGTCCAAGACAAGAATAACGGACGGACGGACGGACAAAGCTGGGACTATATACTCACCCTTCGAGGAGCATAATAAATCTATGTGACCCCTTGGGCTGAGCTAATATTGAACCCAGGGGCACGATTCATATTGGATTTGTAAAGATCAATAAGGCAATCCTACATATCCAAGTTCTAGTTCACGGACCATACCCGTGCACATCGCTTCATTAGAAAAAATATTTCTGCCAAAATGTTTTTTGAATTTCATTCTATTGCTTCAAGATACAAAGCAGACAGTTTTGAAAGTGATACAAAAACTGTGACCTTGACCTGACAAAGGTCAAACCTGCATCCGCACATCGTTTCAATCGTATTAACAATTTCCTTCCACCAGTTCAAAAACGAATACTGCTAACAGATGGACTGACGATCAGGTGCACAACAGGATACGCAAACCATTTTTTGGGCATACGAAAACAAAATCATTAGAGACACAAGGACAAATACCATTGAACCCGAATGTCTCAATGATATGCAAAACTGAACTTGATACTGATCATGCTTGTAAAGTTTGAATGAAATTGCCCCAGTAGTTTTTTTTAGCAGTAATCAGAAAAAGTTTGTGACGGACGGACAAACGACCTATATGTCACTATGAAACTAAAGAATTTTTGCAGCAGCTTTATATACTTTAAACCAGGTTAAGAGTTATATATTTCCCAACTTACAAAACAATTTGGGCAGAAAGGTCAAGGTCTCCTACTTGATTGAAATACAGGTCAACATTTACACCTAAAACCTACCAAATGATAAATAGTAAACCATCAACAATGGCTAAATTTTAAAACAACAATGCATACACTTTTTTTTTTTAATTTTTATGTAAACCATGTAGCATTTATTTCTGCCACATAATTGTAGTACATACAAAATATGACAACATGGTCATTTAATATATACAAGTAAGATACTTCTTGTACAAATTACGTATGTAGATATGAGAATTAACACATGATTTTTCTTTCACACGGGTAACGTCTGAAAAACAATGATCTCTTAATTAAAGAAACAGAAAAACCATTAATTCCATTTCCCTCATGCTTGTGGAATTAATTCAGGTGTAGAAAACACTTCTTAGGGCTTTGTTTATGATCGCAACACAAACTTTATGTAAACAATTTTCCTATTTACTTAATTAAAGATAAGATTTCATCGACCCATGTAAATAAATGCACTTCTTGATCGTAAGACTTAACAATTATAACATGTATTGTTGTTAAAAAATCAATCGAATCCCATCAAAATATTTTATCGAACCATAGTAACTTTATTTTCTTCGCCCCTCCCCAAAAAAATGTTTCAAGTCGCATTTTATTCTGAAAATTGTTTGTTTTTTCATTTGCATATGCCAAGCTAAGATTATCACATTCCAAAAATATATATATTTTTCAAAAGCTATTCAAATAATTGAAATCTCCTTCAAAAAACAAGAAAGCTGAACAAACTCCGAAACAAAGGACAGTGCAAGTTTGTTTAATGTAAACTGTCATTTTTTTGGCATGTGAAAAACCTTTATACCTAACTCTGTACATGTCTGCGTCAAAAATGGCAGACAGCACAAAATACGTATATGTACATCAATTCACAGTTGGAACACATGTTTTGTATGTTCTAAAATACATGACTATCATATACGAATGAAAAATACAAATGTATAAACAAAAATAGAGCAAACTAGACAGCACTATTTCAATAATGCCGAAAAAATAAAAAAAAAATATCATTTTCATTGGTTTGACTCAGTACTATTCCATTCACTTGCACATGAGATTGAAAATGTGGAACACAAAGGCGGCTAGAACAGTACTAAATCAAACCCAAAACCCCTTGCACATGAAAGGGGATGCAAAAAAACATACAAAATTAGTAAATGACTGCTTAAAGCTGCCATTGTTATAAAACGTCGAGATTAATTCATAAAAACAATCATTAATCTCTATAAACGTCTCAGACACTCGTGATGGTGGTGATGATGAAGATGATGACGACGACGACGATGATTAAAATCAAATGATGATGATAAAAAAAAGGATGGAAAGAGTCCTCCCTGTCTGATGATGAACACTTTATATCAGAAACACTGGCAACACGATTTTAACTCAACACTTTTACATCGATTCCCTGAACGAGAGACAGATCTTTCCTGTACGGTGGAACGTTTACGCTTTATTTCTACGATAAATCTGTATGCTTTCCAAGATGAACAATAATTGAGTGAAAAAACTTTTTAAGGTCCGATTCTTTTTTTGTTTTGTTTGTTATTTATTATCTTTTTTATTCAGTCTTTTGAAGAGAAAACTTTGTCACAGGTTCTTTTCAATATTTTGATGAAATCCGCTTTGAAAATTTAACAACAGTGACCACGTGTTAACAAAAAACTGGTCTTGATGTACGTTTCTAAAACCTGCCCCCTCTGTATGGGCGGCCGCCACCGCCACCTCGGGAATAACCACGATTCTGGTAAAAGTCATATCCACCGTAACCTCCATAATCCCCTCTGCCGCCATACTGACGTCCATATGGGCGTGGCTGGTAGCCATAGAAATCAAATGGTGGGTACATGTCATAATCACCATAGTAACCATATCCTGTAGATAAAAATAAAATCAAATGTATGCAGTTCTCCATTTCACAGTATCTTTTGCCTAAACAAATACAAAAGATTTTTCTCCCGTTTTGAAGAAATCTACAAAACTAATGTTAAAGTGGCCTTCAGCCTTTAAAGTTTCTAAAGTTTAAATATGTGTTATTTTTAGATCAATTATTTCATATAATTGTCAAATCAAAAAAATTAAGGTTAAACATGAAATTTTCAGACAACAAAATATATAAACAATAAGGAAACCTCTCGATAAAGTCTTCCACTTTAGGAAATGAACGTCACTGATGGGTCATAAAAATAGCTCTCAAGATGCCATTTTTATGAAGGCTAAACAGTGATACGGTGAACTTTTCCAAGATAAAATTACTGCAATACCTCGCTTCAAACAACACAGAAATAAAAGTTGAAGGCCACTTTAAATCAATATTATCATGTGACATACTAACAGTGCACCTGATTAAATTGAAAGTAATAGTATAGACAAGATTCTACAGCTGGTAGCTCAATATTTGTATCCCTAAACTTAAACTGGAATGTTCCAAATTCAAATTTTGGACAACGGCGCATGACTAACATAATTCTATCACAAAAGCAATTTCATGATTTAATTTCAATTTCAATAAAAAAAAACAAACAAATTAAACATAACCTTAAGTCAGCTCTGGAACATTTTATAAACAGTTAGAATTTATATAACTAATAATATACAAACCACGTCCTCCGCGGCCTCCTTGGTAGTTCTTTTCCTGAGGGTATGCTTTAGAAACATGGGCATCACAGCCTCGAATCTTGAATTTTCTCATTACTACAATAGAAATAGTTAGGACAGTTTTTATTATTATTATCATTATTTATCTTTTGGTTTGGGTTAAACGTAGCACAAACATTGTAAAGGTCATATGGCAATTTTCCAGCTTTACTGGTGGAGGAAGAGCTCAGGTGGCCTTCCATATTATATTTCATGGAAAATTAGCATCCCAGTAGAACCACCAAAATTTCACAAGCTACCTGGATAGCTTGCTCATGTGAGATAATTATTTTAAGTCCCTGGCTGGATTGAAAAACACAGCAGTTAATCTAAGTCAAGATCTTAAGCACCTGGCAAAAGACAGCCTCTCAATTTTGATAAAAACAAAATTCATTCTGAAGATTAATTTTCGTCATAACTAGCAACAAGAGTTAACACAAAACCAGGTTTTCCACCAATTATTATATTATGAAATCCCTTCAGAAATGTTAGAGGTCTTGTGTTCAGAACAGAAGAATGCTAAATTTATAATCATCTGCCCTTCTGAAAATCATATCACATTTTCATACTAATATTGGTACCAAGTTCATTCAAAGCGGATAGATTTGGTGGAGAAACAAGGATTGAACCCACGTCCGTGAATTGGTCATAAGAAAGGGAACCTACAGTTGCATTTAACAAGAAGAACTTACAGTTGCATTTATCTACTGGATCTTCCTCGGTGAACTCGATAAAACCAAAGCCCTTCAAGGAACCTTCCTTTGAATCTTTCTCCTTGATCAGTTTAATGTTGACAATTTCACCGTAGCGACCAAATGTTTCTTTCATGTCCTCGATGAGGTCTTCTTCTTTCTGATCCTTAGGAAAATCTTTGATGTACAACTTCTTTGTTGCCCAGTATTGTTGCTACAAAAACAGAAGTGAAGGTTCTATTCAATTTTCAAGGGTATATCAGAAATATATATTCAAGACAAACAAATTAAGATGTACATTATCAGTGTAAGAAATTCGGATTTGAATCCACTAGGCTGGTCGGACTACCAGATTGGAATATTCACTAGCCCGAAAGACATTTCACTAGCAATAGTAGCACGATTCATTTGTTCAAAATAGTTGTTTATATTGCCTCTGAAAATACAGTAGCCTGGTCGGGCTTGTTTCTGTGAAAAGTTGGTAGCCCGAGTAGACATTTAGTAGTCAGGGGCTATCGGACTACTGCTAATTTCGAGCATTGCATTATTACTTGAATCTTGAATATTTCAAATGTTCTTAAAACGTTTTTCTCAAGTTCATTTTTCTTAATTTTTTTTTGCTCGACTGGAGGCATGCAACTTTAAAGACAAGCTAATTCTCAGCTGATGAAGTATAAATGGCAACATTCTAAAAGAAAATTTTTGTGAACAAGCAGAGATTAACCATATTTCACTTAACCCAGCAAGTTTAAATAAATACACTTACTTGCTTGGGTGTTGCACGCTTTGTTTCTATTTTCCTGCCGTCAATCTCATGAGGACGGTTCTTTTGAATCTCATCAAGGTCATCTGCGTTCTTGAATGTGATGAACCCAAAGCCCTTTGACCTATTGAATAGGAAAATGATGAAAAATATAAATAAAGACAAAGTAATTCGAATCAGCTATTCTCCCTTTATTGGCAAGGCACTTTACAGAAGGATTATGACATACAGCTCAATAAATTAAGAATTTGGACAATTCGGTTACATTCACTTTACTATAATTGCAAGATATTCAACAGTTAGTTATGAAATCATGCGTTGTAAATCATTTAATCATAAGAATGACCAGATGCAAGGCTTTTCATCCAGATTGCAAGATGGAAAAGTTCAAATACAATTACATCTATTCAATGTGGTAAAGTAACTGGATGATAAATATGAACTTTAACAGTACTGTACTTACTTTGGTGGTGTGCTTCTATCCTTCATAATTTCACAAGTTTCAATTGTTCCATAGCTCGAGAAGTAGTCTTTTAAGGTTTCTTCAGTGGTCTTTGCATCTAAACCTCCAACAAAAAGTTTACGGAATTCTTCGGCCCCTGGGTCACTGTAAATATCAGGCCACTGCGACTGCAAAAGAAAATTTGCAAATGATCAGTGAATATCAAAAACTACATATATGGCCAACAGCTTTAAAGATGACTCACATTATTTGCACCCTAAATTCTGAATAATAAATGTATTGACAAAACTTAGTATTAAGATCACTTTTTTTTAAATTTACAATCCCAAACTTTTTTTCACAGGCAAGGGACTCTTCCTTTAACTTGTTCAAGTGGCTGAGTGGTAAACAGCCGCCAACAGAAAATGACTTGCCTATAATCAATATGGGTTCGAATCCCAACAAGAGACTTCGGATTCTTTCACACAAGAAAGCTACTCAAGCTAGCTTATGGAAGGTCTATGGTTCTACTTGTGCCTGAATAATGAACAAAGGGGCACCTGAAGTCTTAATCCACCAGTATACCTTCCCTAAAGTTTTTTGGGATAAACAAACTTAAAGAGTTTTTTCCCTAATGACAATGGAACTGTAAGTAAACATGCAGACAAAGTCTATTACATCTTACTATGTCAAATCAGTCAGTTAAACATGAGAAAACATAGACATTTCAGATACATCCAGATTTTTAATATGTTAAAATACACTAAACTTCTTAAAAGTTTTCAAAAACTCAAATAGCTGGGCAATTGGAACTTTCAATCTCCAACATAGACCCAAATCGTTTTGGCACAAGTTTTTTTTAAAAAGGTCAAATACATGCACACTGTAGTTCAAGCATGAGATTGTGCCAAAAAGTGTTTAGTTGAAGTTTTAAATGTCACACATAAAAAGTCATGTTTCCTTTCTAGATGCTGGAAGTTTTCCCAAAAGTCTGATAATGAAATGAGCATTTTACTGCCTTAGCAGACACAAGTTTCAAAATCAGACAATAAATATTCAAAGCTCCATTTTTGGAATGACTGACATTCACATCTTATTGAAATCTCTGAAGTGGGAATTGTTTGGTAATTTGTTTGTTTCTTTTAACAAATAACAAGAGCTGTCCATAAGATAGCGAGCTTAACTATTCTCAGTGATACCGACAGTAAGAAAAGGGGCATAACTGTAAAAAGGTAACTCAAGTCTTGTAGTAACTGTGTCCAGCAAGATAAAAATATCAAACCTCACAAGAATGACAGAACTTTTCAATTACTTTACCAAACTTAAAGGAAACAAATAAATTTACTGATTATATATTTTATTATTTATGTATTTCAACAAACAACAGAGAAAAAGTGTGTGAAGTTTAAATCCATCCCCTTCAGCAGTCTTAGAGATACCAACTTGCACAGCACAAAAAATCTTCCCCAAAGTGCAACAGCTACACCAATGCAAGGTAGATGTAAAACTTGTAGTTGCGCTACATATAGACAATTAGAAAGGTACAGGTAATCACTCGGATTGCAAGTTAAGACATGATTTTTGGTTACCGATTGGAAAATAAGGTTTAACCCATTCACATGTAACTGGGTTTTAAAGCAGAATATGCAAATTTAAAGCAATTTCAATTTATGACACATTGGCTATATTCTGGAATAGACCCTGGGGTCTAAATTGCGAGTATTACAATTCATTCCATTTCCTTCAGTGTATTATATACAAGTTTTACTTCTGAAATATACATAGGGAGTCTAATCAAGGTCGCTGAAACTTTCAAAATACACTTTGATTAATGCACAGTGCACTGGATCATTCAAAATTTAATGCATTAGGCCGAAGGTTGAAAACTGACTACAGTAGTGAAATTAATATAAATAACAAAAAAAAACAAAATGCATCAAAGTTTGACATCAGCAAATATATTGTACTTCTTGCATGCAAGTGGTCCCTGTATGTACCACTATAGTCTGATCACTATAATGTATTCAATCAAATATATAATGAAGGCCAAGTTACCACCATAACTGACTGAATGTTGGAGAAAGCATGTGTTCGTGTTTTTCACCGTCACGTTAAAAGTACTGCACTGATATAAGTAGAAAAGTAATGAAAACTAGCAAGACAAGTCTGTTAAGACGCATCCGAAGCCCTTCAGTGCCACAACATCTTTAAAAGATTGAAACATGTGAAAATGTCACATACTACTTCAACAACTATTCTTTACTACCGCCCTCGTGTTTGCCTCCATCACATGGCCAAAACAATCAAATATTTAAGTGTGTGGCAACAGATACACGATGACATTTGATGAAGCAAATGCATCCTAGTAAAAGAAAGTTTATGCTCAATGAAAATAAGCTCATTCTTACTTCTGCATTCATTTTGTTTAAAAAAAGTTAACACCCGTTGACCTGAAATGCCGGTTAATGGCTGAATTTTAGTTAGCGGAAAGGAAGATGTTAAGGAAATCTCGTGAACCTATTGGATGTTGGATTCGTAACGGAACAGTCCATTAATTACAGTATTTAACTGAATTTTAGCATTATTGTAAAAGCACGACTGGGTTAATTCAATTACAGCCGTGAAAAAAAAAATTATGTTTTCCAAAATTTCATTTTTATTTAACATTCTAAAAACGTTTCTTTTTGTATCCTATTTTAAAAAGCGGTTTAATAGGCATTACAAACATTTTTTAAAGAGTAAATACATCGATCTCGGCTCACCTTAATATTCATTGTCATGTCATTTAGAATGCGACCCTTGTCAAGAAAATGTTAGGAATAGAATCTACTGTACATATTGGCTCGTGGTTAAAAATAGGGTTACATATCGTATGTCCCAGTATGCAGTAAATTTACCAATATTAAGTCAATGTGAAGCTGTGTTAAATCAAATATCTAATTATAAGTTATTTACCAATTGGAATATATTGAATTAAAATAATATAAGTCATGCATAAAAAGTTCGTGTATGCATGTGTCATTTTACTTATTCGTTATTCAGAAAAAAACGCTCCACTCTACATGTCGATGAAGAAATAGCTCATCGAGATTTAAATAACTTCCGGTAATCTGCTCCAGAGCGAGGACAAATAGTAGTGAATATTTTTGTGTTTATTGCTCAATGGAAAGCTGCCCTTCAGATTATGACAGATCTGTACTTCTTATGAATATATATCATGAAAAGTCATTCTTTTCTTTCAATACCTGCCTTCTTTTCAAAATTTTAAAAGACCATGAAGGAAATGCAAAAGGGGTTAATATAAATTTAAACGAAAATCTGCACGTAATAGAAATCGTAAATTAATCGTACGGTACACCCATTCATCACCCGGTAGGTTGTACATGTATGCAAATTTTAGAAAAACTATTAATATCAGTCTAAGGTATTTAAAATAACATTTATTAGAGCTAGATCTATTATAAATGAAAAATTGAGAAATACTGATGAACTAAAATGCATAGATCTATTTTTATTTTTAGTATTTTCACTGTATGCCCTGAATTTTATTAATCACTGCAGCGAAACATATTTTCAGCCTTGCTGGACTACTTTCTTCAGTCCTTGATCGGACCCTTAAATTGACACATGTCTCGTAGCCACGACATAGTACCTCGTTCCCACGACTTAGGATATGTTGCCTGCTTTTTAACTTTGTCTTTTGACGTCTTAAATATCTGTGATATGCAGGCTTCATAGTTATGAGGTTCCTCTGATCCCCTTTCGAAATTCCATTTTGTTTAGTTCCACCCATTGTTTTCTCGTTTAGGGCACACACTTTTTATTACTTTTATTACCATACGCCGCTTTTCATGGAATGGCACTACTGTGTCACATTGAAGGTTCCATGATAACCGCCGTATGAACACATCTGCGGATGTTTCTAAATTCAAAATTTTACCATTTCATGTTTAAATGTTGAATTCTGCTTAAGCCGGTGCTAGGGGGCGTGGATGGTAGTTTGCACTTGACAGTACTGTCCATGAACAGGCTCAATCAAACCGAGCCTGCAACATTTTCAATTTTGACGTTTTAGGGATTCCTATTTTCTCTATTTTACTTATCTCGTAGCCACGACTTAGTAACACGTGGTCACGACAAAGTATCTCGTTCCCACAACTTATTTATCTCGTGACTTAGTAACTCGTGGCCACGACAGTATCTCGTGCCCACGTGGTCACGACTTAGTAATTCGTGACCACGACATAGTATCTCGTTCCTACGACTTAACTATCTCGTGTCCACGACTTAGTAACTCGTGCCCACTTCGTCACCACATATCTATTATTCACGATCGTACTTTAGGAATACTCGTTGCGAGACAATGCAAAGCCGTGGAAGACGGAAGATTAAAAAAAACCCCCAGATTAGGCTACTTGAAGTGCCGCGAAGAGATGCGATTTCATCAGAAACGCGACTAAATCGTATTGTTGAGCTATCATAAAAAAATGACGATACAAATACACTTAACTTTTTTCCGCCGGTTGAGTAAGGGAGTAAACTCAAGCTAACATCGTTTAAATATATCTTACTGTTTATTTCCCTTGCTTATTTTTTTTAAAAAATAATACTTATTATCTTCGCCAAAAATGTTTTTTTTTTATATTTTTATTTCCCTTATAATGGTTACATATATAAAGACATTCACATGTTCACTGGGTCTTAATTTCGCCTACCAGAGGGAATGAGAAAAGTAAAAATCCACGCGAAGCAAAAATAATTTTATCACATAACATATTAGTATAATGACATATGTTCATAGAAAAAATGTACAATTTATTTATAAATATTATGAAAGAGACAAGTTCCTGTCCTGATTCATATTAATTGGTCATCCTATTCCTTATTGTTTAACCCACGCGTTTCATATTTATGCACAATTGTTTTACCCATTCATTTCATATTATTTTTACCACGCGGTTCATATTTCTGTCCTATTGTTTTACCCATGTGTTTAATATATATGTCCTATTATTTTACCCAGTGTTTCATATATATGTCCTATTATTTTACCCATGTGTTTCATATTTATGTCCTATTATTTTACCCATGTGTTTACTATATATGTCCTATTATTTTACCCATGTGTTTCATATTTATGTCCTATTATTTTACCCATGTGTTTCATATTTATGTCCTATTATTTTACCCATGTGTTTCATATTTATTTCCTATTATTTTACCCATGTGTTTAATATATATGTCCTATTATTTTACCCATGTGTTTCATATTTATGTCCTATTATTTTACCCATGTGTTTAATATATATGTCCTATTATTTTACCCATGTGTTTCATATATATGTCCTATTATTTTACCCATGTGTTTCATATTTATGTCCTATTATTTTACCCATGTGTTTCATATATATATGTCCTATTATTTTATCCATGTGTTTCATATATATGTCCTATTATTTTACCCATGTGTTTCATATTTCTGTCCTATTGTTTTACCCATGTGTTTCATATATATGTCCTATTTATTTTACCCATGTGTTTAATATATATGTCCTATTATTTTACCCATGTGTTTCATATTCATGTCCTATATTTTACCCATGTGTTTCATATATATGTCCTATTATTTTACCCATGTGTTTCATATTTATGTCCTATTATTTTACCCATGTGTTTCATATATATGTCCTATTATTTTATCCATGTGTTTCATATATATGTCCTATTATTTTACCCATGTGTTTCATATTTTTGTCCTATTATTTTACCCATGTGTTTCATATATATATCCTATTATTTTACCCATGTGTTTCATATATATGTCCTATTATTTTACCCATGTGTTTCATATATATGTCCTATTATTTTACCCACGTGTTTCATATTTATGTCCTATTATTTTACCCATGTGTTTCATATTTATGTCCTATTATTTTACCCATGTGTTTCATATTTATGTCCTATAATTTTACCCATGTGTTTCATATTTATGTCCTATTATTTTACCCATGTGTTTTATATATATGTCCTATTGTTTAAACCCATGTGTTTCATAAGTATGCCGTCTCATTTTTTACCCATCTGTTCCATATTTGTCCCTTATTGTTTCCCCATGTATTTCATAATTATGTGTACCTTATTGATTAACCCGTGTGTTTCATATGCATATATGCCTTTTTGTTTTACCCATGCATTTCATATGAATGCCGTTTTGTTTTAATCTATGCATAATTGTTTTACCCATGCATTTCATATTTATGTACCTTTGTTTTACCCATTCAATTTGTGCCCTATATAGTTTTACCCGTTGGTTTCATATGTATGCCTTATTGTTTTAAGAAGCCTTATTGTGTAATAAATCAAATATGATCTATGAGTATCACATCAATAAGACATACGATAAATTAAATCATGCATGGTGAGATGGCAAAACATTGAATACACATGTACATTGAATACACATAATTATATATATATTTTCAGTAAACATGCATAATAACAATATTTAAATTTTCTAAAAATTTATTATTTTTTCCTTCAGAGCCGCTACTATTACTTTTTTTGAAATGCTCGTATATACAGGTATTTAATGTTGTGACCATGCGTTTCATATTTATTGTTTTACCTTTATGTTTCATATTCATTGCTTAACAATTGTGTTCCCTTCCTTTCTGTTGTTTAAGTCAAGGATATTATATTTCTTGTTTTACTTGTTGATTTTGTATGTATTGATTACCCAAGTGTTTCACATTTATAATTTTTCCCAAGTGTTTCACATTTATTGTTTTACCTTTGCGTTTCACATTTATTGTTTTACCCATGTGTTTCACATTTATTGTTTTACCCATGTGTTTCACATTTATTGTTTTACCCAAGCAAGTGTTTCACATTTATTGTTTTACCCATGTGTTTCACATTTATTGTTTTACCCATGTGTTTCACATTTATTGTTTTACCCATGTGTTTCACATTTATTGTTTACCCATGCAAGTGTTTCACATTTATTGTTTTACTTTTGCGTTCCATATTGATTGTTTTACCCATGTGTTTCACATTTATTGTTTTACCCATGTGTTTCACACTTATTGCTTTACCCATGTGTTTCACTTTTATTGTTTTACCCATGTGTTTCACATTTATTGTTTTACCCATGTGTTTCACATTTATTGTTTTACCCAAGTGTTTTACATTTATTGTTTTACCCATGCAAGTGTTTCACATTTATTGTTTTACTTTTGCGTTCCATATTGATTGTTTCAGTCATGTGTTTTTTATTCATCGTTTTACTATTTTTACAATTATGTTTCATGATTATTGTTTCTCCTGCGTGTTTTATATTTGTTGTTTTTTTACCACAGAGCTATATAATATGTCTCTGTTTTAAACTTGTGTTTTTGCATTTATTGTTTAAGCCGTGTGTTATATATCTTTGTTTCATCAATAACGATCATGTTTTTTTTGGTTTGCTCGTGTAATTTGACAATTTATTGTTTACACATGCGTTTCATATTAATTGTATTTACCCGTATGTTGCATATGTATTGTTTTACCCATGTTTCATATTAA